TATTTTCAAAAAAGAAAAATACAGAAAACCATATGAGAAGCTAAGATGCATAAATAGAAACCACATAAAAAAATGAAAAAAACTGAATAGACCAAAGCATCAACTGCAAAGCCTAGCAGTATATGAATCCTATGATCAAATCAATTATATCCATTAAAATTATATTTTTAATTCTTTTTATGTTTGCATGAAAATATGAAATGACACATATTTATCATAATCTTATATAGAAATATGACAAGCTCTGATAATTCAATTTATATGCTTAGAAAGTTACAAAAAAGATGAACATGCAAAAATAAAAAATTTTAAATCATATTTTTATATAAATTAAAAATTACTTTAACATAAAACAAATATATTAAACAACTAAGCTTTTGGCTTTTTTTTTTAAAAAAAAATATAAAACAAATATCCACTTTATGTCAAAGTCTTGTAATGGGATAGTTATGGTTGTTTCTTTTGATCAATTTATTTTTTTTCTAGTAAGGAAGAATCAAAGTTAAGTGTTGCGGAGATGAGGATGTTAAGGCAGATGAGTGGATTTACTCTTAAAGACAGGATACGAAATGAGTATATCAATGAAAATGTTGGAGTAGCTCCAATGACTGATAAGATTAGAGGGTCATCTTAGATGGTTTGGTCATGTAAAACAGTAGCCTTCTGATGTTCCTGTTAGAAGAGTAGATGTATTAGATTTGACATATGCATGTTAAAAAAGGCAAAGATAGACCTAAAAAGACTTGGTTAAAAAATATTAGAAATGACATTTATTTATTAGATTTAAATGAAAATTTAACTCTTAAAATGACACAACGAAAAAAAATATTCATGTAGCCGACCCCACGTAGTGGGATAAAGATTTGATGCTGATTATGTTGTTGTTGCAAGGAAGAATCAAAGTTAGTAAGCTTGTCCATATTTGAAAAATTATTGATTGGTTGGCACTAAAGTTGGTGAGCCTAACATCTCCAACTAAAACTATTTTAGAAGTTTAATTTAGATCATGCTAATTGGATGAAATAATTAAACAAAAATTATTGAATTTGAAGAGTACTCCTAATTCTTAATAGATTTTAGTCTTAGCTAGGAATGATATTGATTAGGGGTATGTTTGGGATCTTTTTATTTTTGTTTTTGTTTTTAAAATATATTAATTTGTTTATTGTATTATTTAAAAATTTTTATTTTTAAAATACTTAAAATAATTGTTAAGTGTTTTTAATCGTTGAAAACGACAGTCTTTTGTTGTCGACTGTCATTGCTAGCCATACTACCTATCGCTGCAAACCAGCCACAATAATCTTTACAAAAACTAAACGACTCCAAATGAAGCCTATATCGAACTAGGTTTGATGTGAGACTACAATAACCTAGATATAGATAATGTTTTAAAGCTTTGTTCTGATCCTATTAAACTTCCTCAAAACATGCTAAGTCACTCAACATACCTAATATTTTTTTTTTTTAAATTTTTTTTTTTTTTTTTGCTAAGTCTCAAGTGATACCACTAAACCATTATTTTATGCTTATTGGGTTCTACTCTTTCAATGCATGCATAAGAGTATTTCTCTCATATTCAATATTATATTTACATGTAAAAGCTTGTGATGCTTATTGTGATGTAAAAGCTTGTGATGATTATCTTAATTACATCTAAAGCTTGTGATGATTATCTTAATTACAAATTATTATTTTTGTTAAAATCACTATAAAGACTCCATAAGACAGCTTTTGTTGATTTTATTTATTACAATTTAACTTTTTTCAACATTCTAATATCCTATTGCAATCAAAATCGAGTAATCTTCTAGTCATTAGGGTTCTCTCGTCGATATACTTATTTTTACTATAATTCTTTAAATATATAAAATTTGAAGATCATTTGATTGTTCAAATATTGTCATGAAGTTTCTAGCCACACATCAAAGGCATGACTCAAGTCCATTTGGATTCAGATGAAGGCACTCAAGACATCATTAAGTTCAACTCATTCGAATATTCATGTTGACTATCAATTCGTTATACTCAAATCCTAAATAATCTTGTAGTTGATCTTTAAAAATTTTAATTCTCAAATATTTGCACTATGAAAATTTGATTCTTAATAGAATATAACGGAGAAAAATAATTCAAGCAGCTTACACTATGCAGTGCAATAAATTTTTTTTCTTGTTGTATTTATATTAAGGCTTCGTCTGAGTCGGTTTTCTTACTGCTTCTCAAAATTTTTAGCACAAAAATTATTTTAAGAAGCAGTAAGAAAATCACCTCAAAAGAAGTCTAAGATTGGTCAAAAACTTGATCAAATTTTATCTGTAAATTATCCATTTTAATTTTTGAATATTTATCTTATTATTTTAACCTAAATTATCTCAAAATATTCTTGCATAATTTCCCCTAAAAACAGCCAGGCTTTCTCACTGAAATTATTGATATGCAAGCAAAGGGAAATGAATAGAAAAATAAAATGTGCGTAAATGGATGGCAGTCAAGAGACACGAGTGGTCCACTCTCAATCATCAATGCAGCCAAATGATTGATGGGAATAAACATTAAATAGAGTAACTTAGCCCTATTGAAAGTCTCCTTTGCAGTGCTTCCCTCTGACCAAATAAAACAAATTGAATTAAATTATATTTTAGACATTTAAAATAAAGTGTAAGAAATTTAAATTATCTAATTTATTCTACTCTAAATGTCTAAGTAATTGTGATGTTATCTACATGAGAGTATGTGCTGAAAAAAATTGTTGGCTAAATATAAGGATTTATTTTTAAGCTGCGTGGTGTTTAATCATTAGAAATATGAATAGAGTACTAAAAAAATAAAAAAATAAAAAATAAATTAGTCAAACATAATGATATATTCTATTGAATGTATCAAATTGTTTGACATATTTAAAATAAGCAAAATAGTTTGTCGTATTCAATGAAATGTGTCAGTCTGTTTAGCGCATTATTACAATAATTTTATAATTTAGTTCGACTGATTGGGGTGAATGCACCAAATAATTTGACGCATTCTTAAAAATGCACCAAATCATTTGGTTCATTTTGTAGAATGCACCATATTGTTTGGATAATTTGTTTATTTTTATTTTTTTTAATACTAGTCTACACTTATTCCTAATTTAAATTAACCACCATGTTTCTTACAAAAAAAATCTTAAATATAATCGGTAAAATAAATTAAATATATTTTAATCCTACCTTACATTTATATATCTCTATATTAATAAAAAAAAAATTATACTCAGCAAAGCATAAATCAAAATATTAGAGAAATGTTTATAGGTAATCTCTCTCTACATAAAATTTGATTTTATATGCCTCATTAAACGTAACTAGAGAATATCTCTATTACTTTTTTTATTATTATTGAATATGCCTAAAAGTTTGTTTCGGAAAATCTGGTGTTTGGACTTTGTTCAAGTGTTTGAACATAAATATGTTCAGATCGGATGTTTGAACTTGTTCCTGGAGCGTTCGCGATGAGAGAGTTCATTAAGAGGAGGCCTCGCCGACATATCTGCCCTTCGCTCAATCCTCCTTATTAGGTGCGGAGTGCAGATGGGGTGAGAACTGTCTGCACAGACACAGGGTACCGAGCGGTACCCAGTAGTACCGAGTGGTACCGAACGGTACCGAGCACGATTTTATACTAGTGTGCAAACGGTTCTCCCGTCCGCACTCCGCACCTAATAATTTCTCCTTCTTTTGAGCCGGCTTCGCTTCCTCCACCTTCTCACAATCACACCCACCTTCCATGTCATCATTTTCTGTAGCTTCGGAGGCAGCATTGCTATCGACATCCTCACAATTGGGACTACTTCATTGTCTGTGAACAAGTTGCCACTTTCATGGATGCCTTCCCTTGGGCTCCACGTTCGAACGTGAGAATCAAGTTCAAACAACAAGCTCAACATTAGGGACGGAACTAGACTTAATTCTTAAAAGAGCAAATATTAATTTCTTTTTCTTTTTAAATTGGAGCCATACCTAACTGATAAAGGTGTGACAAAGAAAAAAAAAATCTGTGGTGGAGATAAATTTTTGTTATAATTTAATAAATTGTCCCATTCTTAAAGGACATCATAGAATGGTCCATGAAAATGTGTAAAGTTGCTTTTTAGGATGAATTTCCACCAAAAAAAAAAAAAACTTTTTAGGATGTACTAGGTCTGGTTCTTTGTATCTCCTAAAAGCTCACATTCAAATAATATAATTCTCCTTTTTTAAGATAGATATAAATTTTTAAAATTTAAGCTATGTTTCCTTTTTTATAACTAAGTACTCACTATTTTTCTATATGAAATTCAATTTGTAATTGGTCATGTTGATCTCGTAGTTAATTGCATGTAAGTGACTAGGGATAAGTGATATTATCTTATAGTTCAATTAAAAAATTAATTCATTTAATTTCTAACCAATTCACTTACATAATAGGCAAATCATTGTTGTGGGCTTCTATCTATTCACATAAAAGGAACGGACTCAAGCTTAGGTTCTTTCATTGATTCACGCAACATCTTCAGACGTCACGTATATATGTATACATCAAGCTCGTCAGGGTTGATGCATGCATATGTCTTTGCATACTGTGTTTGTATAATAATTATATATATGCAGTGCAGCGGGTGCATACATCACATTCGTCAGGGCTCCCTCTTAGACAAATTCGACACTCTGATCTCAATGGTACAGGCCGTTTGATGACTGGAAGTCGTTTGACCACTTAAATGATGTGTTGGATCTGCCGGCCGGCACTTAAGTCGTAAAATTCACCTTGTTTTGATCATGTTTAGTGTAGGGAACAAGGTAGTAATTAAGTCATAAAATTAGATGATATCATAATGCTTACCATTGAACATTAGAGGCACATGGCCATTATTTTTCTCCAAACAAATGAAAATAGAATCAAACTTATTCCCCCCACTCCACACATCAATCAAACATATCAAAAGCATCAAAATCCCAATCCTCTCACTCTCAATCTCTTTACAAAACAAATAACAACAATCCAACACCACCTCCAAGTAAGCCCATGAAGCTTACCAACTTCACAGATGCTCCACTAGGAGGGGGAGGAGTAGAAACCTCTACTGCAGGAGCAGGTGATGGTGGAGCCTCCATCGACGAAGGAGGAGAGAGAGATTCTAGCGATGGCGGTGGAGAATGAGATGCTGAAGGGGTGCTTCTATCTGCCATGACTTCAACAATCAAAGATTCATTCCTGATGCAATTCTTCTCGACTCCACTGATGAAGTAGAAGAGACCTGACATGTTGAAGGTGAAGACTGTGTTGCCATCATCGAATTTGGCTATGTATGATGAGGTGCTGCAGTTGTTGTAGGCGAGCTTATCTACTTGGAGAACTGAGTCTTTGTCAGGTGGGTACACGAATACTATATGTCATTGAAGAACATAAGAGTTAGAAAAAAATTAAAAATTTAAACAAGAGAGAGAATTTTTAAATATTCTTTACAAATTTTTTATTAAAATCTTTATATTTTAATGTATCTTAAGTGTATTTTATATTAACAAATTTAAAACAAGCTAGCCGGTTCACTAGTTAACGAGTCAAGTCAATGTTGGCTCAAACTTGACTCGTTAGCTCATCAAATACGGCTCAGTTAAACTTGATTATAGTGTAAAAATAAGATCAATAATAAGAAATTTATTAACTTACATAATGAATCGTCGATCCGAAACCGATGTTTTTCCGCCCATTGATTATAAGACATTGAATTCGGATCGGTCGGCACGGTCCAACCCATTGAGCCACCAACTTTGTACTGAGTTGCTCCAGCCAAGGCAAACAATAGAGCAAGGCTTAAAAGCAATAAACCATTGAAGTTAGCCATTTTTTTTTTAAAGCTAATTAAGACTTCTGAGTTTTGGCACCTAAGAACAGATTGCTGAGGGTGTTGCATTACTTATAGGTCTCTTTGAAGAGAATCTTCTTTTAATTTTCATGAAAGCTATGCTTTGCTTGGTAATATGAGAATATTCATACCTTGCTTGTTGGTTTATTACAAGAATAATTAGTTTGATTAAAAGAAGATTGATAGGTGGATTTGTCTGATTAATTGCAAGATTATCTCTTACAAATGGTTTTTAGTTAGATAAATTGATTCTTGGGAAAGTGTGAAGTTATTTGCTGCCTATTTTTTGTTTCAAGCAGAGAATCTCATTTGGTTCTTTTTTGCCTGCAAGCAGGCAAAATAACTTTGTTACAGTATCTTACTAAAGCTTGTTAAAGTTGAAAATTTTGTAATATGTCTTGTGAGGTTTAAGTAGAATATAAAGGCTTTGTGACAGGACTTCTTGCGTAAGATTGTTCACTACTCAATTTCGAATCAATTTAAGCTTTATTTGTGACGACTTTTTTACTGCTTCTTAAAACAGCTTCTTAGTATAAAAAGTTAACTTTTTTACTAAAATTTTGTATAAGAAGAAGTAAGAAAGCTGCTACAAACGAAGCCTTAGGCTTCATTTGAAACAGCTTTCTTACTGTTGTCTAAAGCCACTTTTCAATATGAAATTTTTTAAAAATTGGATATTTATGTACTAGAAAGCCGTTTTTAAAAATAATAAAAAGTTTGTCCCAAAAGAAGCTTTAATTATAATTTAAAATTAGTTCAATCAAACCCACCTTTACGTTTATTTAATCTCATTCTGATCCAAATAAGCTTCGATCGTAAAAAATAAAAACAAAATTAAATTCTATTAATATAGTTAGGGCTGTCATTTCAATAAGATCAAAGTTTTATCACAGTAGAAAAAGTTTTAAATTTTAATTTTATTGGTGTTTTATTTTTTGGTTGCATTTTGAGAATTTGCAATAGGAGCTAATTAGACCTTATGAAATGGATTTCAGCTTTTAGAAGCCATAGTTTCCCTTCAAACTGCTAATTTTCATATGATAATACTTTATATGCAATAGATTATTGTGTGCAGTAAGCATAACATTTAGATTTTGTTTGTGACGGCTTTCTTATTGCTTCTTAAAGAAGTTTTTTAGTACAAAAGTCAAAAATTTTATACTAAAAAGTTGCTTTAAGTAGTAAGAAAGTCGTCCCAAACGAAGTCTTAAACCTCTCTGCATAATAATAAACTTTTCACAGCAAGGCCATAACAGTAAAAGCAAAAAATTCAATGACGAATTATGGATTTTTCCATCCCAGAACATATAAACTTCTACATGAAACAAGAATAATGGCATTTAAATACATTTTACAGTAAACAGATTCCAGATGAACACAGCACTAAACAAAGAAGAAAAACCAGAATAAAAATACTTAAAACAATAACCAGTATAGCTTGCTTGATTAATGGAAGAAAACAAATCAAGTATTAGTGTAACTCTCTCTTTCTTCTTCTCCATTTCCTTCAAGCAGAATCTGCAATGACTTCAAATGACCTGCAAACCTTACTGAAGATCTGAGCTTCAGAACTCAGTCTGTGTGGTTCTCACGCCATTACACTCTGAGCTTGCTCGGTGCGATCAATTGGGGAGGCATGTGAACCAATGGATCTGATTGATGAAGATGATGGAAATTTAAACTTTTTTCTCTTCTTCTTTGGTGCTCCTGCATCTGGGCATGATTGGTCTGAAAACTTCCCAGGGGATAATTGAAATCCATTAGGTTGATCAAACTCTGCAACCGCAGGATGTGTTAAAATTAAAATCATTCAACCGATTATCTATAGATTTTCAAATCATGGGAAAGAAGAAAGAGAACACAACAATGGCAGAAAAGTTCTGGTTGTTTCTTGCGGAGGATTTTATTAGAAGAAATTATCTTATTTGTGTCGCATTAACTATATATTTGTGCTTCTTGGAGTTTCATTTTTTGCCTGTTTATGCTAGAATGCATACAATCAACGTCAATAATAAATTGCAGAGAACACAACAGCATAGAAAACACAGTTGAAGTTTTTCAGTTCTATGAGCAATTTTTTTTTTTTAAAGATATGCAAATAGCATTAATCAAGAAAGGGAAAGATACAACCTACTATGTGATAACAAACCTATCACATTTCTTCCTTATCAGGTCAACAAATCTTGATGGAAGTTTACTAACTAAAAAAACATTCCAAATAAAATCTCCTAAGAGGATATGATGAGAACAGAAATCAGCCACTCTATTACAATCTCTAAAAACAAAATAAAAAATTACATTCTTAAACACTTCTAGAAAAGAAAAATCCAATCTTTGAACTTGGTTATTCATCTCTAAAAACTTCTTTACGGAATTCTGAAGCACCTTGATGATATTAACATTATCTCCTTCTATTATGATTTCTTTCTTGTTCATCATCCATTCTTGAATGGAATTTTTGAAATTGAAAATAGCAATGAGCTCCAATAACGAAATGTCCAAATGAATTAACTGCTTTCTATAGGCTAAAAGCATTCTACCTTTATGATCTCACAACACACCAGCTATACCAGCCATATTAGATTGCAATAGAGAAGCATCTACATTTAATTTGATCCAATCTTTAGTTGGGGGATACCAAGCTTTCAACAGCAATTCTTGCTGATTAATATCCCAATTCTTTTCTATTGGAATAGATGCAAGTGAGTAGATTGTGACATATGGTGTAATCCTAAAAAATCATATCATTTCAAAGTCAATCTCAATCCTACATGCAACAAGCATTAATAAATTCAAATTTTTCGGACTAAGCTCAGGATGTATCTTGATAGAGTCCTCAAGAATGTCCTTAGGAAAAGTCCATGGAAGCATCCTTAGGATTATCCTAGTGAATTCTTATGGAGAACATTCTTGAGAAAATCCTCAAAATTCACCTTTATCCGACACGAATCTCGATGCATATTGTAGTTGGCAAGTTTCAAAATTAAATTTGGGACCATTCAAACTCCAATTTCAACAAACTTATTGTCGAACTGAACATCTCGAAGAGAAAGACCCAACGACACCAAAATCGGTCCAATCCGAGCCCAAAGAGGTCCAAATCGGAGGGTTGAAGTACATTTGGAAGGTTCAAATGACAAATTGGGTGAGTAAATGATATTCAAATATTGCATGCTTATAGTCGAATCGAGCGGCTCAACGAGACGAATCCAACAAGCTAAGAACACTCAATTCAAACATCATTTGGGCATATAAATGCTTAACAAACACTTTATAATCGAGGGGATCAATATGATGTCTGATGGAGCACTCTGGATTTATCCCAGTTCTTTTACATTTTTACAAGGCATGTCACTCCAAAAAATCTTTAAATAGAACCCTTCTTCCTACATGAAGGGGGGCTTAAAACCTTTGGCTGGAGATTGGAGAGAGCTCTGAGGCTTCAAGAATCTAGAGCTCCACCCAAGAACCACCGCAGGAGAACTTCCATCAGCCAACCGGACCACTGTCGGACCTCCGCCCTGCTAACTGTCGACCGTCGCTAGACTTCCACCTGGCTACCGACTGCCGTCGAACTTCTGCCCGCCCATCATTAAACCACCACCCAGCCGCTGACCGCAGTCGGATTACCGCTGGGCCACCAATCGTTGTAGGACCTCTACCCCTGTCACCAACCGTCGTTGGACCACCACTCGCCGCTAATCACCGTCGATCCCTCCGACCATCGTCGGACCACTGCCTGGCCTCCAACCTCCATTGGACCATCGTCATGCTACCAACTGTCGTAGAACCTCCACTAGGCTGCCAACAGTCATCGGAACACCGCTCATTCGCTGATCACCACCAATCCCTTAGACCATATATCGTCACCCATCAACTACAGCCACTCCAACAACAGTCGCCCATCGACTAAGATGCTTCTGACCATTGTCACCTATAGATTATGATCCCTTCGACCACATTCGCCTGCTGAGTGCAGTCCCTCCAACCACTATTGTCAACCAACTATGGTCCACTCCGACCTCTATCGCCCATCAACTACGGTCAATCCAACTAGCGTAGCCTGTCGACTATGGTCCCTCCAAACACCATCGCCTACCGACTTCAGTCCCTCCGACCACTCCCTCAGACCTCCGTCACCCACCGATTAGAGTCCTTCTGACCACTGTAACCACCCACTACAGTCCCTCCGACCTCCATCGCCCGCCGAGTATAGTCCCTCTGACCACCATTGCTTGCCAATTACGATCCCTCCGATCTTCGTCTCCTGCCGACTACGGTCATTGCTAGACCTCCTCTTGGCCACTGACCATAAACGGTCACACCGACCACCATTGTCCGATTACGGTCCCTCCGACCTCTGTCGCACACCTATTACAGTCCCTCCGACCTCCATTGCATGCCGTTTATGATCCTTCCGACCTTCGTCGCCTGCCGACAACCGTCCCTCTGACCAGTGTCGTCTGACTATGATCCTACCGACCAAATGAATAGTCAAACGCTCACTTGAGAATAACTCTCATATCACTAGATTCTTCCAACTTCCACCATGTAATGTGCTCTATATAATGTATATTTTCTACATTGAGGTAAAACCATCCCCCAGAGGAAAGGCATAGCGTATAATCAACCGCAAATACTAGTGGATTCTTTTCAACTAGGCAAGACCCCGTGGTTTTTCTCCCTTTTTAGAGGTTTCCTCGTAAAAATTTTGGTGTCTCTTATGAATGTTACGCCCATCTCCCTTATGTGTCCACGTGCTGGATCTTCATGAATGAAGCTAAGACTTAAACTTTTTCTCTCTACCATCATAAATGTTTCAGGACACAACACTCCTAATACCCTTTGTTAGCATCCCTCGAAACATAACACAAGCGGGATCAAGTTAACATCGAGCAAGGCTCTAACTACTCCCTTTGTTAGTGTTGCTTAAGACGTAGCATATGGAAGATATCTTGTCAAGGACTTATGTAATAGGTATAAAATTAGAGAAAAGGAACCCTAAATCCATAGTCCTCATTCGGGTTACTAATATTTACATCTCAAACAAAGCCATTATTGTTAACAATATTAGAAAATAGAATACAAAATATATGTATTATAGAAAAATGATTCATATAGATAACCCCACGTAGCATGATAAAGACTTGATGTTGTTGTTGTTGGTGTCTTTTCATTCTTTTGATAAAGTAGGATTACAAGATTAAAGTTCTTCCTAGGACTTCTTAATATAATAGTCTGTCAAAACTCTATGAAAAACTATTTTATTTTATAATATTTTTTTTCTCTAATGATTATATTTTTTAACATGTTATAGCCATCTATGATGCTTAGATCCACTCCAACAACTTTGCGTCCTTCATTCTAGTAGTCAACAATGCTATACATAAGACAACAAATGATTGATATTTTTACTCCAACATACTATCACCATTTTCTAAACTCATTTTCTATCACAATGGTGGACTCCAATGGATCTAGGAAAAATAGCATTGTTGTCTTATGTATAGCACTTGTTGGAAACTAGAATGAAGGACGCAAAGTTGTGATATAAAATATAAGGAAGAGATTTGTTAAGGCACGTGCAAGTTTTTTATTTAATCCCATATCATATAGGTTAAAAATACATTGTCATAGAAATAACTAGGTTAAAAATATATTGGTGTAGGAATACTAAATGGTTGGTCAACTCCTATAAGATTAAGCTTTTAAGTTGTCAACGAGATTAACCATTAGTGTATCTAGCCCAAACTTGATCCCAGTTTGGTTCACACTATTAATACTTTGGTCCTGTATTGCCTTATGGCAATCTAGTCATTATTTTTTCAAATAATAATAAGGTCCTTTATTTAAATAAATCATGGATTCAACACCATGATAACAGCCTCATTGGCATGAGGCAAAAAAACTAAACATGTTATTTTTGATCCGTGTGTTTTTGAATTTTTAGCAGCATTTAGACATTTTGATGGCATTTATCTGTGCAACCCCACCCCCAACTCTTAAAACACCTCGAGATCACAACCTATGATCGTTTTAGGGTGTCATTAGGGGTGATTACAAGAAATTTATTCCAAAAACTCCCTTCCTCCACCACCCTCTGAACTCCCATACGACATCAAGGAGATCAGCACCAGCATTACCCCTCACTACTCGTGTCTGCCTTTAAAAAGGTAGTTTGGCCATCAAAAAATTCTAATGTAGGTTACATGAAATTGATTGAGAAAAACTATAAATTTGTTCAGTAGGATGAAATTCTTTGTAATAAAGACAGTGGAAAGAAACTGATGTGATACAAACAAGAATTGCACGGAAATATTTTAAAGGATTACAAAGCTTGCTACTTAAGATTAAGGTTTCGTAAGATTAGATTAGAGAACTTTCAATCGTCAATCTTATTGTAGTAAGCAGTTACAAATCAAAAGTTTAAGGCAAGTTAAGATAGATCTGAAATTATCACAGAAAAAAAAATATGTTGTAATACAATTTCACGGTTAATATTTAGAAAGTTCACTATGAGTTACCATGCTCACTCACACTCAAAGTATGGCTTAGCGGAGAAAGGTCTTCAGCACACCCAACGATGCCACGAGGACAGTCGCAACGCCAATGGTCTTAATCCACGGAAAGGTCGACGGTGGTGGAGAGGTAGCCGCGGACGAGGAAGGTGTAGATCTCCCAACGAGAAACCAAGGCGTCTTAGGCTTTTGAAGATCGATCGTATGTGCCAAGCAATAGAGGATGCGCTTGACGTATCTTTCTGCCGTCTCGTCGTA